AGAATTTCAAGATATAAACGCAGAATTGTGAGGAAAAAGTCACTTATATAGCTTTTTTTTCATCATGTGGAAGAAAAAAAACTGAATTGCGAGATATAAACTCAGAATTGTAATTTCTGATTATTATCAATGTTGAAAACAGTTGCGCTGCTGAATGTTTTTGTGGAAACTGTGATAAATTTTATATTTCAGGATTCACAGATGAATGCAAAGTTCAAAAGAACAGCTTTATTTGAAATAGAAATGTTTTGTAACATTATAAATGTCTTTACTGTCACTTTTGAGCAATTTAATGCATCGTTGAGGAATAAAAGTCTTAATTTCTTTCAAAAAAATCTTAAATTATTATAATGTTTCATTAGAAACCTTACTTTACCACGGTTAACAGGTGTTCTGTAAACCTCCTTAACCAAATAAATTAAATTGATCAAAAGTGACAGTAAAGACATTTATAATGTTACAAAACATTTCTATTTCAAATAAAGCTGTTCTTTTGAACTTTGCATTCATCTGTGAGTCCTGAAATATAAAATGTATCACGGTTTCCACAAAAATATTGTGCAGCACAACTGTTTTCAACATTGATAATAATCAGAAATGTTTCTCGAGCAGCAGATCAGCATATTATACTGATTTCTGAAGATCATGTGACACTGAAGACTGGAGAAATACATTACAGTTTAACACATATTCACTTAGAAAACAGCTGGTTTAAATTGTAATACTATTTCACAATTTTTGTGTTATAGAATACTGTTTTTTTGTTGTTTTTATTTTTTTTGTAGTTGAACAGTAATGCTTTAAAACATGTATTGCGTTTTGTGTAGTTACACTATAAATAGACCAGCATTATAATGATGTAAATAAAGATAGCAGATGAATTAAAAATGCAGATTAAAGAACTAGCGCCATCCCTATTGTACTTATGTAAATTATGACATACAGCAGATTTTCCAATCACAATTTTCAGTGACCAGCGGTCTGACCTGATGGTCAGTGAGCATTATGGGTAATTAAAACATCCTGCAGCACATATATGAATGAATTTAGTGTGTAATATTACATTATTGAGTAATGAAAAAGAATGTATGAATTTCCCTAGTGTCTGTGTCATTATATATACGATGATTTTTCATGTGTTTTTGTCATTTTTATTAGTTTTTAGGTTCGATTAGTTTTTTTATTTATATATAGCTGCTTTAATTTATTTTTATTTAAGTTATTAGCCAAGTTATTAGCTTTTCTAATTGTAATCATTTTTATTAAATTCATTTTTTTACTTTTAAGTTTACTTTTAAATCTGATATTTATATTTCATTTTATTTCAGTTACCAAAAAGTGTGTGTTTTTTTTATAGTTTTACTTTACAATAACAACAAAATGGGATTGTATATGAATATACATATGCATGTAGATGTTTGCTGAACTCCATGTTTTTACAGAGAAAAGACCCAAGTGATCTTAATGTGTATAATTTATTTCTACTAGGGAACTTTGGGAGAAACATCTGAGAGCAAGTTAATATTTAAATAGAAGTGCTGAGAAGTAGTTTTGCTGTGGGACACAGAGAGACTCCTGAGTGATGCTTTCTGACTCTGTGACGATTGTTGTTTCAGATGTGGATGACTGTCAGTCGAACCCCTGTGAGAACGGCGGCACCTGTATCGATAAAGAGGACTCGTTTGTGTGTCTCTGTTTGCCGAGTTACAGCGGAGACCGATGTGAGAGAGGTGAGACGCCCGAACCTGAACATGAGCTCAGAAACATGTGCACACATCCCTCTATCCGATGCTTTCCTGCAACCCGACTCATATTGCACTCAAATGAAAGCCGTTCCCTGCTGGGAAATCCCTCTTAAAGCAGCCTAAAGGTGCTGGAAGTGGTGCTTGTGGAGCAGCACACATGAAATATCTCGAGTACCAGTGAAATCAGTGGCTCTGTGATGGTCCTAAGGAGAAAAGAGGAGTGGCCCAGCCTATTTTAGCCAATCAGAAACACTCATTGCCCGTCAGTCATTGTGATGGTTATCCTTGTTGTAAAGCTTCACTCACCAAGCTGGTTTCCACTGGTCAGGCTGGTTTTAGAAGGGTTTTAGGCACTACTTTTAACTGGTCAAAGTGGGAGTTTTCAGAAACACGTTCACTGCATAAATTCTATTTGTATGCCAAAGTCTATTTTATTTGCTAATATTAATTCCTTTACTGTGCATTATTTTACTTTATTTGACTTAGTTTTGCACCATTTCTAATTCTTCGGAGATATGCATATATGATATATACAAGTACATGAAACTGATAAATGATGCATACAATAAAGTATACAAAACTTCAGTGAAATTAAAAGGGAATTGAAGCTGTTTACTCTGATCCAAGCCTCTAACGGCCATAGACATCGCTACTTCTTTTACTTTATTTCATGAAATTAATATATTGCATATGCAAGATGCAAATTTACCAAATTAATGTATTGCATGTACAGTATGAAATATCTTGCATATGCATATTTGCATTGTGCAAAAATAAGTCAAATTACTATATTGCGTATGCATATTTGTATTGTGCAAAAATCTGTCAAATTAATATTGCATATGCAATAATATCTTGCTCTTAGTGCTCTTTACAGGACATCCTGACTTAAAACTGTGACATGTAAGGTCTCAGAGAAATCCCAAAAAATAATGTCCTCTACAGAGGACAAAACTCCATAGCTGGTTGTCAGGAGGATATACATGTAATAATTTTGTCCGCATATATTGCATATGTATATTTGCATTGTGCAAAATAGTCAAATTAATATATTGCAATATGCAATTAAATCGTGCAAATATTCAATATTCACAATGTGCAAAAATTGGGCAAATTAATATTAACTTGCAAATGCAATGCATAGTATTAACTTGCATAAATTGCATATGCATATTTGCTTTGTGTATAAATAAGTCAAATTAATATATTGCAAATGCAATGTGCAGTAATAGCTTGCATATATCGCATTTGCATATTGACAAAATCTCAGAAAATCTGTGAAATTCAAATTATTGACAAAATCACAGAAAATCTGTGAAATTAATAAATTGCTTATGTCGTATGCAGTTATATCTTGCATAAATTGCATATGCATATTTGCACTGTGCAAACATCTAATTAATATATTGCTTATGCAATATGCAAAAATGTATTGAATATATTGCACATGCAAATTTGCATATAACTGCATATACATATTTGTATCGTGCAAAAGTCTGTCAAATTATTATTGCATATGTAATAATATCTTGCAAATATCGAATATTCACAATGTTGAAAAATCTTTCAAATTAATAGTATTTTCCATGTGCAATATGCAGTAATGTCTAATTCGCATTGCGCAAAAATCGGTCAAATAAGTAAAATAGCAATTTGAAAGGAGTCAGCTAACTTCTGCCAGGTCTTTTCATTCCTCTCATTAGTGTTTTACATTGTTTGTCGGCGTCTCTAAGGTGTGGTGTGCGTGCTTCATTATGTTGACCAGTCTCTCTCTCTCTGTAACACATTGTGGCACTAATCTCAGTGGTTTTGCAGACTCATGAGCATCCGCTCGCCCTCCTCTGAGTCCCATGGTGACAGCGACTCTAACGATGATGCATTACTGCTAATAATGCCGTTGGCTGATGGCACAGAACTGCACTTCACACGAGTGTGATGTCACAGTGCTGTATCGGACGCATTATTGTGTGTGTATTTAGAAGATGCTTCATCATAGTTATGCTGCTGTAGAGATTTAGACATGTAGTTGTAGTTGATGGACATTCATTTCACAGTCCATTGCATGTTCGTGTTTAATCTGAGATGTTTCCAATAGAGCACAACAGTGACTGTTCAGCCGTCTTGCTCGGGAAGTATTTTTCATTCACTTTCTGAATATGCATTTCTTAAAGTTTTTCAATGAAGTGTTTTTGAACCAGTTTGAACATACAGGCATGGGTTCCTTAAAGTCTTAAATTTAAAAATATGAGCCGTAGACTTCACTTCCCCCTTTACTTTATGGCCAAAGTTAATATATTGCATTTGCAGTATGCACGTTTATCAAGTTAACATATTGCATATCCAGTAATACCTTGCATATATTGCATATTCACACCTATTTAAATAAGTAGCTGGAAGAATTAAAGCATAGACATTTCAAAATAAGAGTCCCTGTGTATTTCAGGCTAGTTAATATATTGCATTTGCAGTATGCACGTTTATCAAGTTAACATATTGCAGTAATACCTTGCATATATTGCATATTCACACCTATTTAAATAAGTAGCTGGAAGAATTAAAGCATAGACATTTCAAAATAAGAGTCCCTGTGTATTTCAGGCTTTTTTTATAATTAAAAGTCCTGCATTATGCATAAAATAGTTTTCGGGTAATTTTGGTATTTTAAAAGCAATGCACTATATCTGTACAAACAGTATTGTTGCTTTTTTTTCATTATACTGTATTATTGTGTGTACACTGAAAAACTAGTCTAAACTAGTCTTGCTAGTCAAATTCACAAATTATTACAAAGAATGCAAGTAACATGAAATTTTGAAGTAATAAAAATCTATTTTTTAACTACATTTTACTCCAATAATCTTTGTTTTATTTACAACTTTTTTTACAGTCTACATTAACACTATATATTTGTCAGTTTCATGTCTCTCGTATGACTCCACACTCCAATCATTTACACTCATATCAATGTTTCATTTCCATTTATTTATTTCATAAGTATCCATTTAATAAGCAGGATAATGTTCAGTCAGCTGGTCATTATCACAAAATAAACCCCTTCAGGGCGTCACACCGGGGTTTATTTTACAGTAATGACAGGCTGATTGTACATTACCCCTCATTCATTATCCACATTAATATATTGCATTTGCAGTATGCACGTTTATCAAGTTAACATATTGCATATCCAGTAATACCTTGCATATATTGCATATTCACACCTATTTAAATAAGTAGCTGGAAGAATTAAAGCATAGACATTTCAAAATAAGAGTCCCTGTGTATTTCAGGCTTTTTTTATAATTAAAAGTCCTGCATTATGCATAAAATAGTTTTCGGGTAATTTTGGTATTTTAAAAGCAATGCACTATATCTGTACAAACAGTATTGTTGCTTTTTTTCATTATACTGTATTATTGTGTGTACACTGAAAAACTAGTCTAAACTAGTCTTGCTAGTCAAATTCACAAATTATTACAAAGAATGCAAGTAACATGAAATTTTGAAGTAATAAAAAACTAAAATAATATTTTCTTGTTCATTTTACTCCAATAATCTTTGTTTTATTTACAACTTTTTTTACAGTCTACATTGACACTATATATTTGTCAGTTTCATGTCTCTCGTATGACTCCACACTCCAATCATTTACACTCATATCAATGTTTCATTTCCATTTATTTATTTCATAAGTATCCATTTAATAAGCAGGATAATGTTCAGTCAGCTGGTCATTATCACAAAATAAACCCCTTCAGGGCGTCACACCGGGGTTTATTTTACAGTAATGACAGGCTGATTGTACATTACCCCTCATTCATTATCCACAGGCGTTGGACCTTGGTGTTCAGTGTTTCTTCTGCCCCTCCACTGATAGAGACTTAATTACATCTGTGTGCTGCTTTAATAGCAGGTCTCTGGTGGCCTTCGTTCAGATTTAACCACAGAACACACACACACACACACACTCGAGCGGTTATATGATGCCTCTTAACTAACCCGCCAGGTAGACTGAGTTTTCAGGGTTTTTTAATGTTTTGATGAAGGTTAATCTGATGAAACACTAGCACAGAGAGAGATTATGGGAATTCAGGATAATAAACTGAATTGATTCATGCATATGAAAAAATTCCTGATGCTCGTTCTGAATAAAGTATGATGGCAATATTTTATTATTCTATTATCATTGATATACTATAGTTTTTATTAATATTTAGATTTTTTTTATTTATATTTTCTGTTTTCATTAGAATTTTAGTTTAAGTTTTTTCTCAGAATTGCAAGAAATAAACAATTCTTTTATGCAATTTTGAGTTTACGTGTTGCTATTCTGCTTCCCCCCCCCCTCTGAATTCTGAGATTACATCTCTTTATATTTACATTCTTTATCTCAAAATTCTGATTTTTTAAATTTATTTATTTAATTTATAATATTTCATTTTGAGAGATAAACTTGGAATTGCAAGATAGAAACTCAGAATTGCAAAAAAAAAAAAAACTAAGTCTAAATTATGAGATAAGAAGTTGCTATTTACTTTGTTTGTTTGTTTTATCTTGTGGCTGAAACAAGCTTCCATATGTTTTAGTCCCTAAAGTAAAACTAAATTAAATGAGAAATGTTGATTCTTCTATATTTTATTTCAGTTAATATTTATTTTATTTCAAGTAACACTTTTTAAGTTTTAGTTTTAGTTTTAATTAACTATTATAACCCTGCCAGTGATGTCTTTTTCTGTCTCCAGACACAGAGGGCTGTGAACACGGCTGGAAGAAGTTTCACGGTCACTGCTACCGTCTGTTTCCTCGCAGACACACCTGGGAGGACGCAGAGAAAGACTGCAGGGAGCACAGCAGCCACCTGACCAGCATCACTTCCTCCATGGAGCAGGACTTCCTTAACGGTACGTCTCAAGCTGCAGAGCTTAGATAAAAAAAAAAAATATATATATATATATATATATAAGGTTTTCTCACCCTTTAAAGCTTTAATGCATCGTCCAACACTCACTTCACTGACACACAGAACGGAGCACGTTTTCCAGTTTAAGTGGTTATCGATGTGTGTGTGTGTGTGTGTGAGCTGCACTTAATAAACTGCACGAACATCTCAATGTAACATTGACTGTCATCTTCTGTATCAGTTTCGCTCTCGACAGTAACACAGATTAAATGATGTGTCCATTGATTCCTCAAACACTAACGCAGAGAGTGAAGTCAGCGTGTTCAGTTCTCATCGCTCTAAAGGCGAAACGCTTGCGTGCAGCACCTCGGCCCTGATTCATCGGGTATGTGTGGCATTTCAATGGAGAGACGTCTTTCAGTCCTCCACACAACGGGGTCTCAGTTTTTAGGGTGTGAGTATTCAGACCCCATTGAGAAGGGCTCAGATTGGGGATTTAAGCTCTGGGCTCTGCACTACATTTCCCACGATGCCGTCCTTTGTGGCACGTCCAGGATCTTTCGCGGTTTTCTGTGGCTGCGATGGCAGAGGACAGATTTACAGCCTGCCTATGGAAATCAGGCTCATTGTCTGGAGACGGAGCGTTTGTGCCAGGACTTCAGGATTTCACTTCATTTCAATTGAAAAGGTTAACGTTTAAGAAAATTGAATTTTCCCTCCTGGAACCTTAAGTATTTAGATTTGTGTTCAAAAATAAAGGTTTATCAGGGATTGATTGTGTTTGTGTCAATCTGACCCACATTCAAAACATCTTGAAACTCTGGTGAAACTGTTTCTTATTGAAAATTTGTGCATTTTTCTCATTTAGGTTCATGAATGTGAATGGTTTTAGTCATGCTCTTAAAGGGATCGTTCACCCAAAAATGAAAATGACCCCATGATTTACTCACCCTCAAGCCATCCTCGGTGTATATGACTTTCTTCTTTCAGAGCAGGGGTGCCGAACTCAGTTCCTGGAGGGCCGGAGCCCTGCAGAGTTTAGATCCAACCCTAATTAAACACACCTGATCCATCTAATCAAGTTTGAAAACTACATGGTATGTGTGTAGACTCTGCAGGTCTGCGGCCCTCTAGGAACGGAGTTCGACACCCCTGTTTCAGACAAATGCAATCGGAGTTATATTAAAAATGTCCTGCTCTTCCAAGCTTTATAATGGCAGTGAATGGGGGGTCCAGATTTTGAAGCAAAATTAAGTGCATCCATCCATCAGATCAGATTTGAAGGATTTTCAGGATCAGTTCAATTAGACAAACGCTGATTGTTTATGATGTATTAGTTACTTTTTTATGGAGTAACGCAATATTGTAACGCATTACTTTTAAAAGTAACTTTCCCCAACACTGATGATATGTCTGTGTGTTTGCAGTGATGTGTGGCACTCCGCCGGCTGTCGATAACACCTATCTAGTGGGCCGCAGACGCTCACACTACGACATCCACGCGGTGGTTCAGTACCAGTGCGCCGACGGCTTCTTCCAGAGACACATCCCGACTGTCCGCTGCCGACCCAACGGGACCTGGGAAAGACCCAAGATCATCTGCACTAAATGTGAGTCTAAACGCTGATCTGAATAAATATGGGTGGCTTTCTAAAAATGTTTTAGATATTTATTTTTAATTAATTTTTTATTTTAATTTAAATGTTTTTTTTAATTTTTGGTTTCATTTTAATTTTAACTAAAATGTATTTAATTATTTAAATTAATTTAATTATTTTAAATGTAAGTGTTTTTGCCATTTTAGTAGTTTTTTTGTTTTGTATACCTGTATGTCTATATAGCTTTTATATATTTTTATTCCGGTTTTACATCAAAAATTGAAATGTTGGCTTGACAACTAGCTGAATTAAAATCCTTATATTTTATTTAAGTCGCAAAAGTGTGTGTGTGTGTGTTTTTAATGGTTTTACTTCTTAGTTTCAGTTTTAGGTTAGTTAACTATAATAACCCTGGTTGTAAAGGGATTAAATAAGTTCATCAGAATCTGAATTGATTTTTTTATTTTTTATTGTTCAACAGTCAAAACATCGTACATCACCACAGTATTCAATATTCACCTTTCCAATCAATTACATATTCAGCCACTAGTCACCATCAATGTAACAAAACAAAAAAGCACATGGAAATGTAACAGTTGTTAAGGAGTGCTGCTCATCACACCATTTTTATATGCTGCCAAAAATGATCCCATGTTTTTTTAATTTCTCCCTCACTCTGCAGTCTCCCCAACATGCACACATATGATGCAATTTCAGAATCTGAATTGATTTAAAGCAATTAACCAGTTAATTAAATATTCCTGATTTAATCAGAAGTGTTTAATTAACTGGTTAGTTGGTACATTTTACATTCCTGTAGCTCAAATATAATATGTCGCTTTGAATAAAAGTGTGTGCTGAATTAATTAATATAGTGTAAATATAAATGCAAATCAGATGTAGTCATGCGACCGTTTTGTTTCCTTCCAGCGCGGCGATCTCACCATTACCGTCGGCAACACCACAGATCTCGGCGCGAGCATCGACGACACCGGAGACACGGATCTGGGCACAGGGGGCGGGATTAAGCCACGGGGGTGGAGCTAAAATGCAGGGGCCGTGACCTCTGACCCCGTGGCCTGTGTTCCCCTTTAGTCCATGAGGAATCGCTATAGACGGAATGGACAGAAATAATGGTTCTTTTTTACCGCTGTTATTTAGGTTTTATTAACCCTCCGTTCACATCTAGAGGAATGTTTTTCATTGGTTATTTCACGCAGACGGTCGGTGATGTGTCACTCACCGCCACAAACGCTCTTCATCTTTATACGATAGTCGTTTTAATTTGTCTACGCAGCAGGTGAAGGTTCTGGTAGCTCATGCTCATATTTCTTCAGCTTTAGATTTTTGGGATGTGATGCTTTAATGAAATACTGAATGTCCAAACTGCCCAAAATCTTTCATATTCATAAAATGAAATGCTCTTCAAGCCTTTAAATGGCACAATGATTCTTTGTACCCCTTGAGACTTTACTTTTTTACTTTCATTTTGAGCGTTTGGTGATGATTTGGTTTATATTGCAAATGTAACTATTGTGACGTGTTGGATTAGAATCATAGTGAAACCTCTTATGTTCATAAATGAGTGAATCTCATGAAGAAAAGCAACGTCCAGCTCATGCTTCACACCAACACTGAAAGAAAAACATAAGAAGCTAGGTTTTGCATAAAGAAAATTGAAGCCTGTTTTTAAAACCAGTAGGATTTTTTTTGTATTGTGACAATTAAAGCACATTTTCCCTCAAATTAAACATCCAAATGTTTAAAAATAATAATAATAATAATAAAAAAAATCACTTAAAATTTAAAATTAAAATTAAATAAAAAATCATCCTGTCCAGAAAAAGTTCAAATTGTATTAAAATGAGAAATTCAGCATAAATTAAATAAATGGCACCATGAAATATACTTAATGTAGTCATTTAAAAGTTGCCTTTACAATTTGAATATATTATTATTATATGTGCAATTGTAATATGTTTAATTGTCATAAAAATGTCACAATTAAAAAAATTATTTATGCCAGTGTTATTTTAGTGTCACTGAGATTCTATTATAGTTTTTATTAATATTTCGAATCAGTATAAATGTTTCCATTTTCCATTTAATTTTACTTAAAGTTTAATAATCTCTTTGGTATTTTTTTTGTCATTTTAGTAGTGTTTGTTTTTATATATGTCTATATATATTATTTTTTATTTCTGTTTTTGTTATTTTAGTGCATCAAGTTAAACTAAATTAAAATGACCAATGTTGCCTTGGCAGCTAGCTGAAATAAAAATGTCACTTAACATTTATATTTATTATTTTTTTATGGTTTTAATTTTAGTTTTAGTTTACCTATAATAACCCTGCTTTATGCAAAATGTAATTTCTTATTTCTTTCTGATGTGGGGTGAAATATGAGCAAAGCTGAGCTGAAACTGAGTTTGTGATTGAATCAGTTCTCACACAGATTGTTATGAAGCGTCTGAAAGATCTGGAATAGAGATGATTGGCAGGTGCTCGTCATGTGTCGATTTGAACATCAAACTAACATCTCTGTGTTCAGCGTGATTCATTTCTGTTTACTTGAATCTGATTCCGAAGGATTTGAGTCTTTGAGCAGAAACAAACACAAACGCTGCGTCCTCAAGAGGGTGATAGAGTTTCCTTCAGATCTCAGTATTATTAAACTTAATGGATTACCGTTCAGGTCACTTCATATAAACTTGTCAACAGTTCAGCTTGCAGAATCAATACATCGACCTGAAAGAGAAAACGGAGCCTAGGAAAAAGTGTATGCATAAACACATATTTTAAATTGCGTTCTGACACATTTTAAAATGCGTGAGTGAGTGTTCACAGACTTTATCAGTTACGTTTGAGGCCGCAGGGTCTCGTGTCTCGTTCAGACGGTCGTATCTGATCTTCACGACCGCGTATGAGAGTTTATTCTCACCTGCTGAAGTGTGTGTGAATGTGACGTGTTGTAGGAGTTTCAGACAGATTCATTTCACATGCCTGTTGCTTGGTAACATGTCGACATGTGTCTCTGTGTCCTTCCTGTGTGTGTGTGTGTGTGTGTGTGCAAGAGAATGCAAGTGTGTGTGTGTGTGTGTGTGTGTGTGTTATTTGTGACAACTGCATGCGTTTCTGTGTGTGTTTTTTGTTTGTAGAGTTTTAAGTGTTTTTTACACTACAGACGAGACTCATTAATTAGTTCACAACCACACACACGGCAAAAAATGAGTTTCATAGTCAATATTTTTGTCTTGTTTTCCAGTACAAACATCTCAACATTCCTAAATAAAGATACATTTACTTGAGAAGCAAAAATTAAGTGTTTATGCTTAAAACAAGAAAATGTCTGCCATTGGGTTCAGAAAAATAAACTTAATTTTTCTTCCCCAATTTGCAGATTTTTTCCAATATTACCATAAAATATGCTTAATAGAACACTTTACAAATCTACTTTAAAATAAACTTGTTTTCTCTTTGAATTGTATTAATAACGTTTTATTTTTCTTACCCCACTGACAGATATTTGACTTGTTTTAAGCATAAACTCGCTTAATTTTAATAAAACATAATAAGTCTTGTTTTCTAAAAAATTCTAATAATTTTGCGTCTTGCATAAATTTACTCTCAAATTAAAAAACCAACATTAAAAAAATCCTGTTCTCATCACTGCTAGAGGTTTGAAAACCATCCTGTCCAGAAAAAAATAAATAAAAATGTTTTATAAATTCAGCATGAATTGAATTTAGTACAACAAAAATTAGCATAAAGTATGCTTAATTTACAGATCTACTTTAAAATAAACTTGTTTTCTCTTTGTATTGTATTAATAAATGTTTATTTTTCTTACCCCACTGACAGATATTTGACTTGTTTTAAGCATAAACTCGCTTAATTTTAATAATATTTTACTTAATGTTTTAAGTAATTTAGCTTCTCAGGTAAATGTCTTAATTTAAGAATATTTAGATATTTGGCAAAAATTTTTTTTTGCAGTTCAGTATCTGTTTCTAAACCTAGTGCGCTTCTTAACTAGACAACTTAAAGATGCAACTTCAAATATCGCTTTAATAGAGAAGTTCATGTCAGAATGCACTGCAGCAAGCTCAGTTAAATCTTATGCAGTATGTGGGATGAAGTTAAAAATACATTTTATTTAGTGGTGGAAAATATTGCTAAAAAGTTGATTCTATATAATGCATTATTTTGTCCAATATTTGTGCGAGTTTTGTCTTTTTATTTTTAATAAAATACAGGGTTTTTATCATCAAATTATTGAAATCAATTGGCGTTTAACACACAAAAGTGCTTCCGAATCTCTCACTTATGGGCTCCAATCTCAGTTAGGATGCTGCCTATGTAGGGAGCACTAGGTTTTGTGTGTCTTTTCCTCTCAGTATCTCTGTGTGTTTATTTATAACATAGTGAACATGATGACGATTAATCCACCAACTCACTCTTCTCTTTGCTCTGAGCTTATAGATCCACGTTCTTCTGTAAATAAATCGTCTTCACTCATTTATTCCGTCTTGACCGTCTTTGTTTACTTGCTTTTGATGACAACATTGATGATTGTCGTTTTTTATTCTAATATCTGAACACATTTAATCACCCTATTCAGCATTATAACTAGCAGAAGTGACATAGAAATGTGTGTTTCACACACTAACTTGAGCGGATGTTTGGATCTCTTTATTAAATCCTCATTAAAACGGCTGTCCGGTGAGAATCGCTCAGATGAAACTGCTTTCTGAGGTCAAACTTTGATGTTTTTATGGCTTCACTTCTCGTTTGTTGATGTGTTTTTGTTCTTTATTAAACTCAAACCAACAATAAAACTGATTGGATCAAAACTGCTGTCATTTCAGATGTTTTATTTGAGTGATCTGCTTCCTAGTGTTAAAACTGAACTTAGGCAATTCTATTCTCATTTTACACCAACAGAAATGAATTATACTTCAGACTGGATGTGTACAAATCCATTTCTCTTCTCAGTATTTAGCATGACGAGTGTTTCCATGATGCATTTTGTTCATTTTACAGGTGAATCAATTGTAAATATGCTAATGTTATGATATATTTTATGAATATGAAGTATGCATAAGTTTATTGATGTTTTCTGAGAGGCCTGTGCATGACGGCAGTTTTTCATACACAGTTAATTTTAGTATGCTGTGCTGTTTTATTGCTCATTATTGCTCTATTAGGACTCGTCCCATTGGAAGGACACTCACTTGCATTCATTATGTGATTTTAGACATCAGCAGTCACACAAACACACATTCATCTAATGATTTAGGCCAGAAACATGCTTAATGCATGCATACTTTAAAAGAATGCTTTACCCAAAAATGAAAGTGTGCTCACCCTCAGGTCACCCAAGATGTAGATGAATTTGTTTCTTCATCAGATTTGGAGAAATTGCTCAGCAATGGATGCTCTGCAGTGAATGGGTGCCGTCAGAATGAGAGTCCAAACAGCTGATGAAAACATCACAATAATCTACTTTCTGTTTCTTTAAGCAAAAGTGAAAAACAAGAAACAATTGAGATATTAAAGCGATCTCATTTGTGATATTTATCTCCTGAGGGATTTGGTCCTGTTGTGTTATATATTAATCTACAGACTCTGCTGTCCATTTTCCCTCCATCGTGTCTGATCCTGACGCCCACTTCAGGTCCATGAGGTCAGATTGAGCTGCTGTTGATCTGATTGTGTTGAAGTTACTCTCATTGTTTGCTATATTTAGTTTTCTTTTCTGGCCAGCGGCCTGTTCTTCCATCTGTAAGACTCACACAAAGGCAGTGTTCACTTTCCAGCCCAGTGAGATTCATATAAACACACACACACTTATGTAGAGAAAGGGTTAGAACTTGATCAAAAGTATTAAAATGAGCTAAGAGTATCAAAAACCCATATTTTTTTTAAATCAAGGCAGCATTTATTTGATCAAAAATACAGTAAAAACTGTGAAATATTATGTTATGTTAAAAAATGTAAGTTATTCCTGTGATCAAAGCTGAATTTTCAGCATCCAGCATCATTCCTCCAGTCTTCAGTGTCACATGATCTTCAGAAATCAGTATAATATGCTGAATTTCTGTCGTTATCAAACAAGAAAGGTAATTGCTACATTTCACTCAACAATTTGTAAATTTAAATATCTATTTATTAATTTTTTTATTTTTTGTCTGAATTCTGAGTTTTCCAACTCTCAAAATTTTTTCCGCCACGGAATAAAACTAATTTAAAAGGCAATTGTGAATTATATCTTGAATTTTTTCTCAGAATTGTCTGATAAAAACTCAGAATTGTGAGTCAAAATTGCCTTTATTTATTAATTTCATGGCAGAAACAATCTTCAGTTTGTGTTTCGTTACGTGTATCTCAGTTATGAAAATGAAGAACTGACAGATATGAAGTGAACATTTATTCTCTCCAGCGTTTAGTAGGCCTATTTCACTCATAAGCCTCGTTTAATTAACTAATTAATGGTCAAATCTGATTTTTGCGTTGCATTTTCTGTCCTCATGGTTACCTTTATCTGAATAAACGTCTCCTTTCACGGAGGTATAAATGGTTAACTCATTCGGTTGGTTTGAGCCCTTCATGTGTTTTCAAAGACCCATAAAGATCAGCCATAAACAGCAGATTCAGCTTTAAGCTAATGAGCATCTCCGTTGCCACGGTTACTGGCCACATCAAAGCGTTGATGAAATAGTTAAACATGCTCTTTGTAATTCCAGAA